AGAGAGAGAGAGAGAGAGAGATAGGACACTTGAGGATTACGACACTCGGCATACTGACACAACACCACTTTATCCTTGGATTAATTTATGAAAAACCCTTTTGATTCTTTCGATCTGAGGACTCTGACGGACTAAAGGAATGTGAATAACTTACAGGGTAACTGAGGAATGGACACATAATTTGAGGTTACCAACAACATCTGAAGAACTTCTATTAAGAAAATGAACTGCTTGTCACTACATTTAGTAGCTAATCTCAGTCCAATAGTGAAAGAATATTACATCTCACAGTCTGTCTGTTTTACCATATCATAACTGCTGGAAATGAAAACAGACTTGAGCACCAGGTTATCAAAAATCTTAAATCTGTAAGGTCTAATTTTGTTTATTATCCTTTTCAAGTCTTCTACACTGACAATAGTGGAAGGGTCAACAGTAACCCACTGCTGGACCAGCTCCCCAGCTACCAGTCCCTGCTGTACCGTAGGAAGTCGTCGGCTGCTGGCACCAAACGTAGGAGCAGCTCCAGAGGGAGACTTGGCTCTTCAGGCAGTGGGAAATGGGGCATTAACACATTCAGAAGACATAAGGAGAAACAGAAGAGCCTGATGGAGCAGAGACCCGTCAGGGAACTGGCCAAGACCATGGCGGATAAACGCAGAGAGAAGTAGGACAGACATTATTAAAGTCTGAAAATGTTTTGTTTGTTATGTTTAAAAAAGTATCATAAAGTGGAAGCTCTCAGCTAACAGTGTGTCTGACTGTGACTTGTTAGAACGCAGCGCTTGGAGGATGATCGAGAGCTCAGCAGAGTGACGCAGTTGAAGCACAACACCAGCAGGTATCTGAGGAGGCTGAAGGATGATGCCCAAGAATGGGTGAACTCCCTGAAGCTCTGGAGAGGAGACATCCACCTGATAGAGGGTGAGAGATGAAAGATTAAATGGACTGTAAGAACTGTATCTTCAGCCTCAGAGGCATGTATTGATTTCTACTCAGGATGGCTGACATGAGTAAACATACTGTTGCTCTAACAGAAAGTGTATCAGTTGTGTTTTTGTTGCTAAATTCTCCCTCACCTCTCCGTTACATTCAATAGGAACGTTCGGCACAGGGATCCTGTCTTACTTCTCCTTCCTACGCTACCTGGTCATGCTCAACTTGATCATCTTCCTGCTCATGTTCAGCTTCGTCATGCTACCCCTCATCATAGCCCCCAGCGTTTCAGGGAACATCACCTACAACCAGAACGAGGGTGAGAGGATGCTTGTTTGTTCAGCCTTGAGCACAAACCAGGCATAGAATAGTTGTAAGCTTCTGCTTCCCTGTGTTTTACTACAGGAGGTGTGTGCAGTTTTTATCCAAGCAGCGCCCGGCGAGGTCTGGTGATCTTTCATGAGCACATTACAGATCTGCTGTCCGGTGGAGTAAGTCCTTACACTTCACATTTAATGGTCCCTGGATGAAACCAAAGTGTGGTTTCCTCACTCATTTTTTTGTGCTTAATGTGCAGGGCTTCCTGGAACAGACCTATCTTTTCTACGGCTACTACAAGGCGGACAAAATACACTTTCCAAAGGCTACTTATAATCTGCCGCTGGCGTACCTGCTGGTCACCATCGCCTACCTGTTCCTCAGTCTCATATGGATTGTTAAAAGGTACTGAATGGAACAAAAAACACAAGATAAACTTTTGTTTCTGGAAATGTTTTTAACTTGAAATAATCTTCCAGGTCTGCCACAGGATTCAAACGTAACCTGATTCAGGATGAGGATCGCTTTCAGAGTTTCTGCAACAAGATTTTTGCAGGCTGGGACTTCTGCATCACGAACGAGAATGCCGTGAAGCTGAAGAGAAGCAGTTTGCTCTATGAGCTCAGGGTTAGTGGATCGTCATTTGTTTGTCTCATAAATGTTTACCTGCCTTGCATTAAAATTGCATGTTGTTATGTCCCCAGACGGATTTGGAGGAGGAAAGGATCAAACAGAAAATAGCAGATCGCACTCGCAAAGAGAAGTGTCGGATTTACGTCGTCCGCCTCATTCTCAACCTTTTTGTCATCTCCGTACTGGCTGGTTGCTTCTACAGCATTTATGTGGCCACCATCTTCTCCCAGAAAGTACAGATGGATAAGATAAAGGTAAAGAAATGTTTTATTATTATCCTTCTGTCCGAGCACCTGCTTGTGGCTACTATAAACTTAATTTCAACTTAAAACCAGATTTTGTGTGAGTGACATCACATAGGTCATTAAAGGGGAAGTTCTGTTTTTTACAACCTGGACCTTATTTCTGGCAGTAAATATGGTTGTTTACTCACCCAGATAAGTTTGGTTTCATTTGGAGTCCTTCGGAAGATATTTAGATCCGCGAGAGCCGCGTACGTGGGAGTGATCGGGGCAGCGACAATGAGGCTCTAAATAACACGTTATCTGCCGCGAAACTCGTTCATTTCACCAATATGTTTTTATGAATCGCTAGAGTTGCTTGTCATCATCATCATCCGGGTCATTTATACTGACCTACTAACCTCTGACTTGGATGATGTCAGAGGCAATTCGTAAAGGCAATCCTCTTTACCACCGAAGCGTTCACCTTTCTGTTTCTCACTTTTTGTCACTGAGCACTATGTAATAATAAATTCATGTTTTGCATAAGAAGTGCTTCTGCTTTTTGTGCAGTGTGCGGGCTGTTCTACACAAGCGATGAGAAGAAACTAAAGAAATGTAAATTCTCATAGTTATTTACTTATCAAGCAAACAAATTCAATGAAAATAAACAACTTACGCATGTGTGTAGACTAACGTTACTTACACAATCTAAAGTTGCCCGTTCGGTCCTACAGGCTTTGGCTGCGTCTTCCCGTTTACTTTCGGGACACGAAAAAAAGTCTCTACAACAGCCCGGTTGATCATAGAAGTGAAATCCTCTGTAGTTGTTAGACAGTCATTTCTGGAGACATCCAGACGTGTATCTCCTGGCCACAAATCCCAGTCAGAGCAACAAAGGCATTCCTCCTCTGTTGGCATAGTGGAACATTGTTCACAAGAACACCACCAGTTAGCATCGGTTAGCTCGGACGTGCAGCGGTTTGTTGTTCTCTGGCCAGCTGTTCCTCTCTCTGCCTCCGCATCCTCCTTTCAAAGAGCTCCTCATCCGTATACTCTGGGTCAAAACGGTAAGGACGTCCATCATATTCAAAGTCTTCGTCCACAACCTCAAAATCTGACAAATATTCAGCCATGTTTCAGCCTAAACAGAGCGTAAACAGAGCCTTGCCGGGTGTGCGGCGGCACGATGACATCATCCAGGTCAGTGGTTAGTAGGTCAGTATAAATGACCCGGATGATGATGATGACAAGCAACTCTAGCGATCCATAAAAACATATTGGTGAAATGAACGAGTTTCGCGGCAGATAATGTGTTATTTAGAGCCTCATTGTCGCTGCCCCGATCACTCCCACTGTATGGATGTACGCGGCTCTCGCGGATCTAAATATCTTCCGAAGGACTCCACATGACACCAAACTTATCTGGGTGAGTAAACAACCGTATTTAATGCCAGGAATAAGGTCCAGGTTGTAAAAAACGGAACTTTCCCTTTAAGGAAATGTACTAAATAACACTTGCTTGTTTGCAGGAGAATTTCATTGTGGATCTCATCTATGAGTATCTGCCCTCAATTGTTATCACTATGGCCAACTTCATCACCCCCCTCCTCTTCTCTGTCATCATCAATTTTGAGGACTACTCACCTGCCTTTGAGATCCGCTTCACTCTCATGAGGTACAGTGGACGTCCATTCATTGACCATTTACACATCCCTTCTCTCAGTGGGGATGCTAACTTGAAAAGTTATTGCATCGGGAGACAAACACTATCAGGGAAGAGGTTGTTCAATTTGGAAGCATCTATAGCCATACAGACATGCGTTTCTGTTTTGAAACACTCACTGTAATGCCACTAACACTATATGGCTGAATTTCTGTCTTTAAGACATGTAATGAATTACTTTGTCTTGTCTTTGTGTTTGTCCTTTCTCCTTCTTTCTTCGCAGGTGTGTCTTCATGAGGTTGACCAGTATCGGGGTCTTGCTCTTTTCTCTCTGGTATCAGATCACTAAATGTGAAACAGACCCCTGCATCTGTGGTTACAACCATAAGCTTTACTCTGTAAGTAATTCTCTTGTGTTCCAGTACAATATACAATGATTTCTTGGAATAATACACAAGTCAATCCCACTTTTATCTGTTAGGGCTGCACATTATATTGTCTTATTTTCTTAATCGTCACTGCGATGTCAATTTCCGCAATAAACTCTGTCTGCATAGTTGAAGGAGGAAAGGGTGACAAGATCAGAGTTTGGTGTTTGGTATTGAAACAATACCACAAGTACCTACTGAACTGAATCACAACGCAGATTTTAGTGCCTCATTTTGGTGCCAGATTGGGTCCGTAGCGAGTGTGTGGTCATCAAAGAGCGACAAAGAGCATGTGTATGTGTGACAGTGACGCTTGACAGTGGGGCTGTCTCCAGTGTCAGGGTGATATATTCAAAACACTTATTACTGTGCCTCTATCTACCTCTTTGTCATTGTCCACAGTGCTGGGAGACCCGTGTGGGCCAGGAAATGTACAAACTCACCATCTTTGACTTCATCATCATTTTCGCAGTCACCATTTTTGTGGAGTTTCCCAGAAAGTAAGTCCTTATCTTAAAAAAAAAATCATCATTTAAATAGAATCAGAAAAGGATTTTTTGTCAAATAGTTTTCCCACTTACAAGGAATTTGCTTAGGTTGTTTTGATACAATACATTTAACATACAGTAAACATATTAAGAGGTTAGGAAAGGTTAAGTACTGTAACACTCAAGAGCATAAATACAGAATAGAAAAATCACAATGAAAATATGGGAAAGAGACTTTAAAAAAGTGAAGTATTTTTCTAGTTTTGTGGACAAAATGTGATCAATTGAACATTTGAAGACATTTAGATGTTTTAACTTTAAAGTATTCTGTCTCTGTATGACTGTCAACTTATATATTAGTATTTGTTTAAGCCTTGTATTTTATTCTGTGTGATTCCAATCCATTTTGTTGCCCTACCTCTGGCAGTACTTTTAGGTGGAAGTCATTCTCGCCCTTTGTTCTTTAGTCATTTGTAACCGTGTCCTTGTGTTGCTCCGTACTGCTCAGGCTCATAGTGAAGCACTGTGACTGTGGCCTGGCTAAGTGGTGGGGCCAGCAGGAGTTTGCTATTCCTCAGAATGTGCTCGAGATTGTCTATGGTCAGACCATCTGCTGGATCGGCACCTTCTACAGCCCGATGCTGCCTGCCATCTGCACTATTAAATACTTCTTTATCTTCTATATCAAAAAGGTGAGGTTTTCTTTCATGTTTTTTTTAAATTGGATCAAACTCAGATGTTGTGTGTCTGATGTTCTATTTCCTTTCTGCTCCTTATTTATAGGTGTCATTGATGAACAATTGTCGTCCAGCCACACGTCCGTTCCGAGCTTCCAGCTCCAACTTCTTCTTCCTGGTTGTGCTGCTGATCGGCCTGGCTCTGGCCTGTGTGCCTGTCATCTTCAGTGTGGCACAGTAAGTAATCCAGACTGTGTTATGTTTTAACTTCAGTCTATTGGGTCATATCAATATTTGTCTCATGAATTTTACTGTTAAATGTACAGTATGTAATTTTCTGCCGCTGAGGGTCTCTCAATCAAAGCAGAGCAAAGCCGTCACTACAGTCAGTTTCTCTTAGTTAGCTCACCTCTTTTGTCTGATAACTTAAGATCCAGACGTTCAGGAAGTTATTACCGGGAGCTGAGGTATCCACAGAGGTCTCCTCCTCTCCAAAACAAACAGACCTGGGGTCTCATTTGTAAAACAATGTGTAGGATTCATACCAAGAATGTACGTACAGACAAAAGCCAAAAAAGGCATGTGTAAAAAAATATTCAACAGTTTCTAAAATCAGGCTTCCACCTCACCATCTGCGTCGCCAATTTCCCATCTCCAAAAGGTTCGTAAGCATGGGTCAATGTTTCTCTCATCGTCTGTTTTTAGACAAAACAAGTTTTGCGTGGGAAGTGGCGTGAGCCTCTTTAAGGCCTCATTTTGTGCATACACAATGTTTATAAACGAGATCTCAGGTGATTTAAATCAGTAAAAACACTGACTAAAGCAGTTTCACGTTAAAAATCAGTGTTTCTCCCGAGCATCTCAGCAGGTCAGGGGCTGGAGCTCCACCTCTGCTAACATTTGCTCAGCTCATCTGATGACTTAAAATCTGGTTAAAACATATAGTTAATAATAACCAAGATCTAAAGAGTGTACTGTAAAAACTGGAGAAAAAGTTTCTGAAGTTCTGTAGTTAGTACATTTATGACAGCTACTGGCAGATGATCACAAGCTTGACACATGTGCAAAAGGGATATGACACTACTGTCAGGCAGCGACGACTAAATGACACAGACCGTGACCATGATTAAAATAACAGATTTGTATTTGTTTCAACATTATAGGAAATTTCTGGAAAAATGTGATCATACAGCTCAAGAAAATATATAACATTGACCAATAATTTTTTAGACATTTTATTACAGAAAGTTACATATTATATCTCTGAATGTACATGAAGACAGGATATTTGTGAGTTCTGTCCTCTGCATTTCACTGACTAAATATATGTAGCACCGCTCATTGCTTCTGCTGACATGTTTCTCTTGGCATACAGTACATACTCATTCTCCCCGCTCTCTTGTTGCACAGAATAAACTCTTCCCAAGCCTGTGGACCATTCGTTAATTACAACACCTCCTGGGCGGTGCTGCCAACTACAGTATCCACGTTACCTCATGGAATCAGAACACTCCTCTTCGCCCTCTCGTCAGAGGCCTTCGCCGTCTCCTTCTTTGTTATCACATGGTATGTGTTTTCTTCAGGTGTTGCAGCATTTTACAGGTACAGGTTACATTTGCTGAAGCTATCAACATATCCTGACAGTAGTACGTGAAACAGTTAATCTGTGAAAAAAATGATGGTCCTCTGGCTCCTCCTACTGCACCTGCTGGCATTTGCAAGAATCCACAGCACCTGAATGACAGCAACCAATCAGAGCTGGGAGCAGACTTTAGCAATCATTGCTCAAGCACACGCTGCGCAGCCACCCTCGCCTGGGGATGCTCTCACTCAGACTACACCCACACTAATACATTTTCTTTATTTATTTTTTTTAAATTACTTTTGCTACCGTCTGTGCTTAGCGTCCACACTGCTCAGGTGTTTTGAAACCACTCAGACGGAGATCTTTGAAAACAAAACAAAACAAAACTTGGGTTTGCGGTTTAGTCTGGACAGGCAGAAAATGAGACTTTTGAAAATGATGACGCAGACGCCCACGTTCACATTCCAACTGGATCTTATCAGTTCTGACATGTCAAGTCAGTTAGGTCTGCATACCTTTTGTGATTGTATCCTTCTTTTATGGGTACTCGTCTCCCATTGCCATGGCTCCCTCCAGCGGTAGATACTGCTCCCAGTACTGCTCTAATGTGCCGCCATATTTGCTTTTAAGTGACTCCCAATCTGTTTTCCACCCCCTTGACTGCCTAATACTCATCTGTTACTTTCATGAACAGTTCCATCTTGTTGTTGGTTGAAGCAAAGAAACTCTTGTTTTATTTTTCCCCACCTTTGGTGTATTTTCTTTAATAAAGCAACCAACCACAGAGTAGAGAATCCTCTTCCTGTTTGCACCGGCATGCACATGCCCACTGTGCATGAATGGTCACGTAATATGCGTTTTTAGGGGTGTTAGTATAGATGGGGATTATTTCTGGAATGGTGCTGATACGCTTGTTTGTACAGAGAATGTTTCATTTTAAAAAGGTGTCAAGCTCGATATCTTCAGTGCGCGTCTCCAAGAGGAGCTTTGCAAACACAATGGCAGAGACACAACCACCAGCAATGACAAAACTGACCAACTGACAACATCAACAAGGCAAAGACAAGTAAATGGAGGAAGACTGAAAAATAGGAACAAGCTGAATAGAAAGGGTTAACCGGAGCTTGAGCCGGCATCAGTTCTGAATCCTTTCAGGGCCTGTAGCTTTCTACACTTTGGAAAAGCCTCTACGATGTTTACTCATTTTATTTTGGGCTCTGTTTATATCTTGTTTTTTAGCCTGCTTTTCATCATCAGTCTCCTTATTTTTACTTGTTTTTGCCATGTATGCTGTCGTTGGCAGCACAGTATGTAAATGAGGAGTGACTGACGTGTTAGACTCCTCCTGGCTCTGATTAGTCATTTTCATTCAGCTGTGGTGGATTTCTGCAAATGCCATTACAAGTTTCAGCAAATCAAAAATGACAGAAAGTTATTTTTATAAAAGTTACCTGCTGTAGGTTTAACTGTTGGTAGCAATTAGTCTTTTCTTTATTTGTTTGTAATTTTAAACACTTACCTCCCCCTGCAGTTTGGCCATGTTTTATGTGATCGCACTTGCTGGAGCTCACAAGAGAGTCATCAACCAGCTAAGAGAGCAGCTAGCCATGGTAGGTTTATCTGTTTCATTTAACCCTTTTTTTCCTATTCTCTATTTCCTCTTGATCATTTGAGTTATTAGCAAAATTTGAGTTCTATAATTTGTGTCATTTTGTGTCTCAGGAGGGCCGAGACAAGCGTTTCCTCATCCAAAAGCTGTGCCAGGCCCAGAGGCTCTCCTCTATCAAATCCCCAGGCTCCAAACCTCAGCCCCGCAGCAGCAGCAGAAGCAGCCCCAGCTACCACACCAGCTTCTCCAATAACTTCAATGAAAGTGTGTTCCTGGCACACTCACCTCCCGACTCCTCCACTCATGTGTGAGGCGACTGATATTAAAGACCAAAAGAGTGGACAGACAGACTGGAGGTGAAAACCAGTCTTTTGTTATTGGTGTAAACAACCTGGGAGCTTCTGCTGGCATTAACGTGTGTTGTCTTCTCTGTGTTCTTTGGTTGACAATCTGATTATTATAACACTATTATGAGGCCACAGTGTTCAAGTATTTTATACCAAAACAGTCATTGATGTTCAGATGTTTTGTGGCATTTTTCCTCGCTGTACATACTGACATCTTTTCCTTCTGAGAAGGACCTGAAATACTAAAACCACTGGAGATGGAAAACCTTTCTGAATTGTATGCACTTTAAATATATTAACACTACTGTTTTCTTACTTTTACAACTATCATGTTTACAAAAAAATGTGCTCATAATGCATCTTGTTTGTTTTTACATCTACTGTTTTTTATTATTATTATTATTATTAATATCATTATTATTAACTGAGGTGGCCTGATAGTGTAAGGAACTAATACATTTCAAAACACTAAACTGTTCTTTGTAACATTACTGTGACTTTTATTTAGATTTTCCAATATACAGTTCACATTATATACACTTTGTGCTTTAACGAAGTAAAAACCTGTAACTCTAATGACAAAACACGACATTAAAACACTTTCTATCCCTCTGTATGTAAGTATTGTTTGGAAATGATACTAGCTCACTCCGAATACTCATTCCTGTTCATTTTTCTCTGTGATGCCATTTTTTTCTCCGTAAAGTTTATAGACTTTATCTTTTTTAACCTGTAAAAATACATGTATGAAAAACAGACATTATCACCGTGATTTCATCGCTCTTCTATTGTGTTTCTAACTTCAGTACATGGTGTAGGGAAAATATTCAAGTGGCAAGGTGATACAGTTTTAGATTTGGCACATTGAATCCGCCCTCCAACTTTGGAAGAAAACTTTCCTTTTATTTATTTTTCTGTGATAATAGAAGAAGTTTTTTAAGCTTTTTAAACGGATTCTTCCTGTAACATTTTGGATCCATTTAATTAAGTCAGATTTCAAATTATTTAGCAACAAAATAAAAGTTGCTTCATACATCTCTTGCTTATTGTCACTAAATACACATCCCAGGTATTTATTAATAATTTGTTTGTACACCTAAATGATTTATGTGTCCTGCAACTTATTTTTTTCCGTACTGCTATTTTTTTCTCTCTCTCCATATTCATTTTATAAACTGAAACCACTGAATACTGAAGAGTAAATCAACAACCAGTAAATGAATATGGATGTTTTTTATCTATACTGACACCTGCCACTTAAATCTTGTGTGATTGTCTCTGTAACAGGTTCAATTAAGAAAACAGGTGGGGAAAGTGAGACACTCAAAACTGTGACCCAGTCTTTGTAACTCTAATATAACATTTGGATGGTGTGTTGCTTTATAAATAATGTTGTGGTTAGATTTTGGGAATAAATGTTTTACTTTATTATGACACATTGCGGTGACTGCCTTTAATAAACTGTTTACATGGAAAATAAATATTAAAATTTATCATTGTTTTGTTTCACAGTCCCCCTTTTTTAATTTTTTAAAACAATTTCTAAAATTCAGATCATTATTGTCAATAGAAATTACACAGAAACAAATAATTCATTAGACAAAACAACATCAGAGCCAGAGGGAACCTTTCAAATAAACAAACAAAAAAGGTTTTTGCAGCTTTATTTTTTTTTAGGTACAATTTATCTTAATGTACAGATAGTTTAATTTTCAATTACTATAGGGCACTTAAATTTGAATTTTGATACCAAACATTACATTTTCCCAGTATATAGAAACATTACATTTTCCCAGTATATAGAAAATTCACAGTGTTATTAGCAATATACCAGGATACTTCTTTCCAAAACTTGGTGTGGGGACTGAAGGGACATTGCTAAAACAGGAGCAGCTTTGTTTCTGGATTATGCATAATAAACAATTAACACAAATGCCTTCATTAAACCTGACAATATAATGGCATGCAGGATAATATCTATGATTTTGAAAGAAACTTCCTGTACTTTAATTTATACATATTAAATAACAAAATCAATACAATTGTATAAAGTTAAAGTTACTGAGAAAAAGTATGTTATTAAAATACAGTTTCAAATCAAAGTGTTGGTGATTACAAAGGGGTTACATCCAAATATATAATTCTCATTTAAAAGTTTATATGTAGCCTAGATATAACATTCATTCTGTGGTGGCACAGTGATGCAGTGGTTAGCATCCTGGTTCGAACCGGGCTGGAGGAGCCCTTCTGTGTGGAGTTTGCATGTTCTCCTTATGTCAGCGTGGGTTTTCTGCGGGTACTCCAGCTTCCTCCCACAGTCCAAAGACATACAAACTAGGTCTGTTGTGACTCTAAATTGTCCGTAGGTGTGAATGTGAGTGTGAATGGTTGTCTGTCTCTATGTGTCAGCCCTGTGATAGTCTGGTGACCTGTCCAGGGTGTACCCTGCCTCTCAGCTGGGATAGGCTCCAGCCCCCCTGCGACCCCCAACAGGATAAGCAGTTATGGAAATGAATATTGATTCTGTTCCTTTGCATCTTTTAGCTGTTCAGAAATGCCTTTGGTACAGCCTAGTGGTTCTAAACCTTTTCCATGTCAAGGACTCCTAAACTGATACACATTAAGTCACATTTTAAAGAGATTTCACTTCAGGGACCTCCATCTGAAAAGATTTTGGTTGTTAGATCTGTCAGCTACAGCTGAGATAAACATGGAGGTAATGAAGCCTGTGATCAGAATAGTCACATGATTCTTATTTAGGATGGTGTCACTTCTATAGGGAATTAAAAAGTGAACATAAATGATTCCCTCCTTTTTCCGGGGACCCTGAATGATGCTTGGGGGCTCCCTGATCGAGAACCACCAGATATTTTTCAGCGTTAATGCCCAGTTTAAAACACTTATTGGAAAATAAATAAAAAAGTAATCAAATATAGTAAACTGCATTGCTTTGATGAAGTAATCAAATTAGTAACCCTCCCTCTCTCACAGACCTGTCACCAGGGTCATGTTATACCACCTCCCGGCCAGCAGAGGCCGCTGCTCCTGACACTCCGCTCGGCCACTGACAGCAGCTCAGCTGGTACGGAACCGGAGGCAGCGTGCTGTTGCTCGGCTCATCGAGAGATCAGTCAGACAAAATGTTGAGAATTACGATACGGGCAGACGTGGGAGCCCTTTGGGTGTTATTCTGTATCACGTATTCGCAGTTTCTAACCGTGTCCTCTGATGATATAGTGGTGGCCTGCGGGGGATTCGTGAAATCCGACGTTGAGATCAATTACTCCCTGATCGAGGTGAGAGTGCAAACCTCCCGGCTAACCGTTAGCTAGCTAGCAGCTAGCTAACGGTTAGCCGGTTTATCGTAGTAAGCTAACGGTTAGGTGGGGACTGGAGGTTTTGGTTGAATGACAGTTTGAATGAAATGACCATTACAGCAGTTTGTTTTAGCTATTCTGAATGTTTTCTGTACCCACAGTTGACGTAAAACCCTAATGTTAGCATATAGCTTTGTGTCATGACTGCTCCCCCTTAAACCTGTAACCTGTCTGTAGACGAGGAAGACGGTAAGTGCGATGCAGCAGTCCTAATCCCTGCTCATTCACAGGCTCCATGGGATTAGCCATTTGGTTAATTAGTGAAATTAACTAAATCCCAGACAGACTGGTCTGTTTGTGAATGACAGCTCATACAAATGATTCAACCAACCGATGACATTCAGCTCACAGCAACAGAGATGACACCACCATATCAGATCACGTTTAGTAATTAAACTATATACTTAATGATCAATTTCTGTTTCCTGTCCTGCAGATTAAACTGTACACCAAACAAGGGTCCTTGAAATATCAAACGGATTGTGCTCCAATCAATGGCTACTTTATGATCCCTCTCTATGACAAGGTAAGAGATTCACTCCTTTGATTTAATTTAAATCTTTTAATTTCCACTGATTGTGATGATTGTAATCTTTAGACTTGTCTGTTTTGCACAGGGGGACTTTGTTTTGAAGATTGAGCCTCCTCTTGGGTGGAGCTTTGGTAAGTGTTTGTATAAAAGCTGCATTTTCATGATTACTCAAACATTATTCATGACAGCTGATGCCCAGAAACTTGATTCTTCTCGATTGTCTTGTTTTTTCTTGGGCTGTAACTGTCACCAGAGCCGACCAGTGTTGACCTCCATGTGGATGGCGTGAGTGACATCTGTACAAAAGAAGAAGACATCAACTTTGTCTTCACTGGCTTCTCCGTCTCAGGAGCAGTGAGTTTATTCATTTCTTTGGATTCATTAACCACCTCTCTGTAAGCTTTTGTCTTGCATGTATCAGTCTAGGAATGATTTCATGTCATAAAATATCTCTCTCTCTCCAGGTTCTGAGTAAAGACCATCTCCTTGGTCCGGCTGGAGTAGAAGTCAAACTCACCCGAGCTGGAACGGAGGAGAAACTCCAGAGTGTGGTCACACAGCCTGGAGGAAAGTAAGTGGTTCACACCTTTATGTTTGTTAGAGTAGAGCTTTACACAGGTGCTCTTGCAGTAGGTCTCTTTAATTGTTTGCCATTTTAAGTTCCCTTTTTTTGGTCTTCATAACACAGGTATACCTTTTTAAAAGTACTCCCTGGAAATTATGACATCACAGCTGCCCATCCCTCCTGGACTCTGGAGCAGGTTGGTACCTTCACTTCAGATTTCATTACATTTACATCAATGTAATGAAAAGGCTGTATCATTAGCACAGATTATACAGAGCCACGGATGTATCATATGTGATGTCACTTATACCTTGTTTTTAAAGGAACATCTGAATTTTCTTCTTCCTGTCTGCTTTGTTATTTACTGGAGCTGCAAAGTTCAAACTTGCGGTGGAGCTGTGGAGTGATAACCCAGCAAACTTCCCAGCTAACCTCTAATTTTAAGCCTTTTATCTTCTTAAAACTGGGGTAGGCAGAAACCTGGATAAGAATACACCTTCTTCCTGCAGTTCTCCCCTCTTTGTCCTAAGCCCCTCCCACCAGACAACCACAGGCATATACACACACTTAACTCAGTAACTCGGTGTTTCCCATACAGTTATTTATTTAAGCATATTTCATTGACTCTCTTTTAGACTCTCTTTCTGTTAAGTCAGTCACCCTTTTTGGGGTTGCTTTGCAATGTAGGCAGTTGTTGCCAATGCGAGAATACCAACTTTCTTTGCAGGATTCTCTACTGTTAAGCCAGACTTTAACCAAAGGGTGGTGCACACACATGTGCATCTGTAGAACAGCAATAGGAATGCCCTCTCTGAAATGACTAACCCATTATGGGCTAGATTTTCTAGGTGGTGTAAAAGCCCAGTGTTCTCTCAGTCCATTTGAATTACAGTGTGCTCAAAGTTTATTACAGGATAGTTTGCCCAGTGACGCCAAAATAAAACTGCCTACCCCAGCTTTAATAGAAAACTATATATTTTCCTAATTTTCACAGGGTGACACTTCAGAAGAAGGCGAAGTTGTCTAGGACCCAATTATGTATTTACTCTGTATTGTAAGAGAGAATTAAGATTTTTTTCTGCAGACCTTGATATGATGACAGATTTCTTGTAGTCATCAGAACGGCAACATGAGACACTTTTGCTCTGGCGTCAACATTTAGCTCAGCTAACTGCGTCTTGATCAAATGACTTTGCAAGATACTGTTGTCATGGTTAAATCTTTCTTTACTATCTGTGAATGCCCTCAAATGTTACTCATATTCTCTAACAGACAGTTAAATGAGCTATTTATTCAGACAGAGCAGAGAGACCTGAGAACCACCTGTAAGGATACACTAAATCACAACTGTTTGAACGTTAAAAAAGAACAGTGAGTGGAGGAGTGACATCAGGATACATCAGCAGGTTTGTAACTAATGATTTCCAGCTGCACTCAGATTAAACCTGTGTGACATCAGGTTTTAACACACTGCTGGGTACGACAGTATGGCAGTTCTCCATCTGAGTAATATCATTAACACAGTTAGGAATGCTTGATCTCAGAGGTCTTTTTAATTCTGTGTCACTTCAGTGTGGAATACTTCATTATTCACCTACTTGCTCAGCTGATAAGGTTCCCTGTCAGGTCAGCAGGTGTAAAACTAATGATCTCCAGCAGTAATGGCACTGCTCCTGACAGGGCCATTTTTCCGAAACTCACTGTAACTTCCGTGGTGACCTTTGCCGTCTTCCTATAGAGCGCTACCTCGGTACTCGTCACCAATGCCAATGCCCCGGCTGCCGACCATCTGGTAGTTGGAGGCTACGATGTCTCGGGGGAGGTTCGCAGTGATGGAGAGCCCATGAAAGAGGTCACCTTCCTACTGTACTCAGCCACAGTCAAGAAAGAGGTAAAACATTATTTAACATATTTTAGAACAGTGAGGAGTCAAACTAGGGCTCTGTCTACACGTATGCAGATATTTTTGAAAATGGATATTTTCTCCCTCAGTTTAAAAAAGCTAAAGCTACAGCGTATAACACCTACCCTTTTAACAGCACATCATATTTAGTAATCAACAACAAAACAAGCCAAAACAAGCAAACAAGATAAAATAGCAACAAAGACAAAAAACAACTTACAAAAGGCGACTTACACACTTAAAGTTCCTGTACCCTGTTCTTCTACATCAGTATTACAGTCTGATCATCCATTTTCATATTTGATCAATGCATTACACTACATAGCTTCTGCTCCTCATCAACAACACCACCACTGTCAGAATTTTCCCACCAACCGCTGAGATACACCAAATAACATTTGGCGCAGCAGATGCCTCCGTTCAACCATGAAGTGGTGCAGCAGTATTAAGTTTGTCATGCATGAATTGAGTAGGTATGTCATAGTTTCCAAAATGCTTCGTCCACACAGATAAAAAGTAATTGGAGTTTCAAAAAATCTGGACCTTAGAAGATGTTTTCAAAAATCTCTGTTTCAGGGACCTGAGCGGCATTTGTGTGTGGACAAGAGGCCGAAACATAAAAGAAAATCTCAGTTTTCAGAAATATCTGTATACATGCAGACAGTGCCCAGACCATGATCTCACAGGACTTGTCTGATCTATCCTGCAGTATTTGATGAAAGTTGGAGCAATTAGTTGTAGATCTCAGTATTTCAGGAATATTACGGAATTTTGTATGAATTATTTACCACAGAACTAAGTCACATCACTCCATATTCATTTGTGTGCTTTCAGGATGTTAGTGGCTGTAACACATCCCCAGTGGAGGGGGCAGATTCTGGGGACAGCTCCCTGGTCTACCTGTGCAGCGCTCTATCCAGGGAAGACGGGACCTTCGTCTTCCCCTCACTGGCCAGCGGCGAGTACACCGTGGTAAGTTTTCTGCAAAAAAAAAGCAAAAGATAACGATCCCCATTTCTAATCTGTTTTAAAGTTATCGTCCTCCAGATTTCACTCCTGGTTGATCTGGTGACATCTTTGGTTACTATGGTGACATCAAGTGTGGTTAAATACTACAGCAAACACTCCTGGAGCAGCTACTTTGTTAGAGATTTAATAGAATTGTAACTGGTGCTTTTGTTTACAGATGACAGACAAAGTTCTGTTGTTTATAATAAATAAATCAGCAGGTATTAAAGAAAAATGTCGACCAAGGTACAAGTAGGATCGAAACATTGTCTTTATTAAATTTGTGGCATGTAATTATTATGCAGGCGTTACTTTTTTCCCCTCAGTGTATGTTGTTTTTTTGACAGCCTTGCACCTATGTGATGTGCATATAATTATTACCCCTCAGACCATTAATAGTATGGAAAAACCTGCCAAATAACTTAATGAAAACACTACATTGAAAATGGCTCTTTCTCTGTCACACTGTCTTCAGGTGCCTTTCTACAGGGGAGAGAGAATCACGTTTGATGTCGCTCCTTCCAGGATGAATTTTAAGGTGGAACACAACAGTTTAAAACTAGAGGTAAAGCGTTATTATATCTCAGGTCTTCAATTTTAGCCTTAACAGTTGTCATTAACTTGCAGATGTGAATACATTGCATGCATGGTACCTTATTTTGACATGCAACACTGTTTCTGTTGCTTCACACGCAGCCCATCTTCCGTGTCATGGGCTTCTCCGTGACAGGCCGAGTTCTCAACAGCGTAGGTGGGGAGGGCGTTCCTGACGCCACAGTGATCCTGAACAACCAGATCAAAGGTAGCCGTACGTGGAGACTCCACACTTTAGTTGCAGTGTCTTAAAAAACATTGAAAAAAATCATCCAGGCCTTTTTTTCTGTAATGCGTAATTTGAGCATTCAGTGGTTCTCATTCACACTGTAGCTTACTTTGCTGTCCTGTCCTCACAGTCGTCAGCAAGGAGGACGGTTCTTTCCGGTTGGAGAACATGACGGCGGGTACCTACACCATCCGTGTCAGCAAGGATCTCATGTTCTTTGAGCCAATCACAGTGAAGATCGCCCCCAACACACCCCAACTTCCTGACATCATCACAGCAGGGTCTGTCTACTTACTGAATATATTTTCATACACGTATCAAATTCCAGCATTAAACATGTTTTTCTTAGCTTGTTTTTTCATATATCTCATTCGTAAGTTGCTTGATCTAAATTCTGTTTTGGGTCTCACACAGGTTCAGTGTGTGTGGCCAGATTTCCATCAGCCGCTTGCCTGAGGGCATGAAGCAGCAGGGCCGTTACAAGGTCACTCTGACACACCGGGGCCAAGACAAGGCCTCCAGCAGGACCATCGACTCTGATCCTCAGGGGGCGTTCTGCTTTCAGGCCAAACCTGGAGACTACAGTGTCCATGTAAGACTCTGGCAGCATCTCGTTTTTATAGTAGTTAGGACTTAATCTGTGTGGCTTAATCTGCATGAGTTCTTAAATCCTTTGAAGCGAAAAAGTGAACTCACATGCTGTGTTACTAAATGAACCCAGTCTGTTGAACACCAGTCTGTCCGTAAGATGCACAGCTGATAAGATACCTAATACATGGACAGTAAACAAAGATTTTTTACTGAGATTTTATGGACATTAGATGAGTTAAGTTCAACATTCAAATTCACTAATTTGACTTCAAAAATCTCAAATCCAAAAACTAAGGAAAGCCCAACAGTCAATAATATTATCCTACTAGATTTTGAGATGCATTGTCTGAGGTATCATTGATTTCGGTGCTTATGCAGTAGTCTGATGAAAACTAGGCTTTCTCCAAGGTAACTTTGGTTGTATTTCCATGTGTTCAGGTATCTCTCCCCGAGGTGGAGGTGAAAGCAGGCCTTGCTCTGCAGCCTCAGGCCCTGGAGGTCTCCCTCGTGGACCGGCCCCTCACCGACCTACTTTTTACCCAGTTCATGGCTTCTGTCTCTGGAAAAGTCTACTGTTTAGGTTAGGAATGAGTAATTTACACCTAAAGGGATACTTTGCCAATTTGCAGCCAGCTCTGTGTCATCGCAGTGTGGGCAGAGTGAGCAGATGAATAGTGTTTGGCTCCCCCCACCTGCTATACAAAACTTGCCGGCGACGTGCTTGTGGTACAGATGGGGAGTTTTTGGCCTGCCAGGATGGAGGGAAGCCAAACACTGTTCATCTGCACACACTGCTTTGACACAGAGCTGGTTGAAAATCTGCAGCGTTTCCCTTTGATTTATTTCTAGAATACAGTCTTTTGTGTGGTTGTTCATGTTTTCCCTGACCTTGTGTCCTCTGGTTGACCTCTAGCGTCCTGTGATGACCTGTCGGTAACACTTCAACCAGTGAGTCGGCAGGGAGAGAGACGGACGGTGGCTCTGTCTGGCAGCAGCGACATCCTCAGCTTCTCCTTTGAAGACGTTTTACCTGGGAAATACAAAGGTCAGGACTCACCAGCAATAACACTTGACATTCGAAATAATAGTAATATTAACAGTTGTGTTATTTATTCTTTCTTTCATTTTTTATGTGAGGTTAATTACAGTGATCACAAAGTAGAAATTGGTTGTTGACAATAGTTGTAGTTGTGTAGATTAAGATTTAAGGAGAGCACAAATGCAGAGTCAACATGCATGTTTTGACTGAAAGAACGCAAATTAACCGTCGTACATAAACTGATTCCTCTGTCTTGTGTACATTTCTGTTTAGAAATCACACTAATTACTCTCGACCGATTGCGGGGGAATCAATTGGTAATTACCAGCTTCCGATCATAATTGATATTTAGCGCCAGCCTTTCAGGACGCACACATTATTCAGCCAGTGTTTCTGTACCTTCTGGTGCTGCATCCATCTCACTCGCTGTTCAATACACACAATCTGTTTTGTGTGCCTGCGAGCTATCTGCACACACAGCACTCTTTTGAGGCATGTTTACTCAGCTTGTAGTGTTGCCAGGCCCGAGCTGCGCAAGAAGTTTACTTTCTTAAGCATTTGTTTAGAGATGAGATAATTATAAGATGGGAAAGTCTTCAACCTGAAGTGATCGCAGCTTCTTAGGTTTTTCCTCGTTGGCTGCTGTGACAGATTTAATCCTTTAACAATCTTATGTTATTTTTATTTTCTTTATTTTATTATTTTATGTATCTTTTTGTTAATTGGTTGTTGCTCTCTCCTTTGTTTAGTCAGTATTACTCATGAGGAATGGTGCTGGAAGCATAAGTCCATGGAAGTGGAGGTTCTGGACTCTGATGTCGTCGGGGTGGAGTTCAGACAGATTGGCTACATCCTGCGCTGCTCCCTCTCCCATGCCATTACTTTGGTCAGTAATCAGCACCTGGTGTGTGTTGTGGCAGCCGGTGGCACACCTGAAATTCTAATTCCAACTGTGTTTGTTTTTCTGCACAGGAGTTCTTCCAAGATGGCAGCAAACCTGAGAATGTCGGCGTGTACAACCTCTCTAAGGGAGTCAACCGCTTCTGCCTCTCCAAGCCAGGTGAGGCTCACTCTCCTGACCCCTTATTAGCTAAACATAGCGTGAATTAGCATACCTAGAAAAGAAAAATATCCATGTACGAAGTGTTCCCTCGTGCATAGTTAGAGTACAGTGCTTGAGCCAAAAGGTCTGTGTCAGACTTATCTAAATATAAAACTGGAGCAAAGTAATTAATCACCTAAAAATGGCTTGTCTAGGTGTTTACAAAGTCACCCCTCGCTCCTGCCACCAGTTTGAGCAGGACTTCTACACCTACGATACGTAAGTAATGAGATGCCGTGTCCATTTATTTCTGGGTTAAAGGAGTGTTCTCCCTCTGTACAACCAAATGACTGATACCCTGTCTCCTACAGCTCAGCCCCCAGTATCCTCACCCTCACCGCAGTGCGGCATCACATGACTGGGCTCATCACCACCGACAAGATCCTAGATGTCACCGTGACTATCAAGTAATGAAAACACAAAGTGGATATGCTTATTTTCTCCGTGCTAATATTAGCTGTTGTGCATCCTGCAAATATCATGCTCATTTTTTCCCTCCCTCCTCTCCGTCAGGTCATCTATTGAGAGCGAGCCGGCGCTGGTGCTGGGTCCCCTGCGAAGTCTGGAGGAACAGAGGCAGGAGCAGCAGCTCCAGGAGATTCAACTGCGCCGTCAGGAACGAGAGCGCCGCGCCGCTGAAGAGGATGGAGGCGCCAGGGACGACAGCCCGCCTATCCAGGAGAAGGCTGATGAACTGACGGGTCCTTTCCACTATGAGTTCTCCTACTGGGCCAGGTCAGACGCACTGCTTTTTTTCAAATTACACTTTTTGCTCTTTGCAATATTAAAGTAAGGATTTCAGTCATGTGAAGAAAATGGGCCTCTTGCACATACATACTGTAATACATACTAATATGTGTTACAGCCTTGCAAAGTGGGGTGAGCTGGTGGTTTTGAGCCAGTTTTCCCCATTTAATGTCTGTCTTGAAGGTTTCTTTACATAATATCCACAATGTTCCTAATCACAGGAATCTCCCAGATAATGTGACAATCCTCAGGTACACATTGTGGTTTTAGTTTGTCACAATGGATGGCTCTAAATACAACAGTGTAGTGTTGTCATCATACTGGAATTTCTAAGTTCAATACGATACCTTGAAAAGTATTGGTATTCAGTGGCATTTTCAATACCACTGGGGAAAAATTGACACTGAGGGCTTAAAATTGAACATGTTTACAAGGCTACACTACAACAGCGCCCATGAGCCTCGGCAGCCATTAATCTTGGTCAGATGGAGGCGTAAATTAAAGCTGTAGCAAATTCAAAAAATTTTTGTCACGAATTTATCAGTTTTGTAGAAAGTGCAATCTTGAACTTCCACATGACGTTAGGCGCACGTGTAACAGATTGTTAAGCTCAGCGATGTTTATGTTTCTATGTTAAAAATATCTTGACACTAATGTTAGCTAGGTAGCTAAGGTAATGCTACATTAACAGAGAGCTGACTACACGGTTAACAGCAGTTACAACACATGCGGTGGTAAAAGCACAACACAAACCAGCAACATTCAGTGTCCGGCCACACAGACTGTCTCTGTTGACATGGTTTCTGAGTCACATATCATATAGTAGCTAAAGGAGTGGCAGTGACATCACCAGCATCCTTCTGAAAAGTTTATAGATTTTCAACTAGAAGCACTCTGAGCGGCTGCACAAAAAAGCCAGAGCGCTCTCAAAAATGACAAACAATTGAAAAAAGCTACAGCGCTCAGAAAAGAACACTATGTGGACACTGGACACAGGCCCTCAAACTGTCTCTGGAGAAAATTAAAAGGACTTTTACTTCCAGAATACTCAAACCCCAAATAATTCCTATCACTTTACAATGTTAATATTAGCAGCTGGTTGGCATCCACTAATAATAATCTCGCTTAGTCTTGAACTCATGAGATGATGCAGTGAGTTAATGCAGACTGTATGACTGTGCAGGGCTGGAGAGAAGATCACAGTGACACCCTCATCCAAAGAACTGCTGTTCTACCCTCCTGAGGTCGAGGCCACCATCACTGGAGGTAAGTTCCTTGCACACACTGTGGCTCTTTGTGTCTGTGGTACAGCTGTTTAAGTCTTTACAAAAGTGATTATAATATTTTAGCCCCAACATTAAACTGTATTGGGTGCATGGAGAAAGCAGATAAATAACATCCTGAAGTCCGTAGTATCAACAAGCTACATAAAAGTAATTACACTCTCTCGACAGAGTCGTGTCCAGGTCGTCTGGTGGACATCACAGGGCGCGCAGGTCTCTTCCTGGAGGGCAAGGTGTCGCCAGAGCTACAGGGTGTGGAGATCTCTATCACTGAAAGAGGAGCTGCTGCGCCGTTCATCACTGTGGTCACCAATGAGATGGGAACATACAGGTGAGAGAGCCCAGCACTTCACATGAGAGAGAAAGATAAAGTGTATAAACACTACAGGACGGCTGTGATACAACTGAAACCAACATTCATTTAGGTCTTGAGCTTAAATGTGTGTCATGCAAGTCATTAATATACCAAGAGGCCAGTCCTTAAATACATTTGAACCCCTAAAGAAATATAGAAATAGCAGCACTGTGTGGGCTGTAGTTAATACCCTGGAAGTGACATAAGTTGGAGTCTGTGGCGTGAAAACCATATTGAAATATTTTGCCTTGCCCTGCTTGTTAAAGCTCGCTCAGTTATTCTTATGTAGTTGTTATTCATGTCACTCAGCACCTCGTTGGGAGGAATTTTAGCCATGCTTGTGGTCCTAATTCAATCCTGAAGACACAGAGATGGCACAAAGGGATAGTTTGGATCTTTTAAAGGGGGGTTATATGACGTACTTATCCATAGTCAGTGTGTAACATACAGTAGATGGTAACAGGCGCATCCTAGTTTGGAGAAACAGGCAGGAAGTTAAGCAGCGCACTGCTGTGTTGGGGTCAGCGACAAAACATGTTTAATCCACCCAAAGAAAAGTTCCAAAAACCAATATCAGTTTAAGTGTACGCTATATTAAGAATATTTACACTGCTTTTCCTTGCTCCAGACAACCTTTTCTAGTGCGGAAGCCGTTTACAACTTCAGTTACCCATCTATGCCTCTGTCAAAGCAACCAGACTCATTAAGAAAAACAGTATTTACAGTTAGCTGAACACCGGAGCTGCTGGTCTGTCGCTGCCTCCATTAGTTAGTCACTGTTATTTTAGTGACTTAGGTGAATCCAAACTAACCCTTTTAAATGCCAAAGTCACACAATTACACAAACTAACCAATGAAGCAGAGGTAGACCAGCAGCTCCTGTCTTCAGCTGTTGTTAAATCACTGTTTTTCTCAATGGAGTCTGGCTTTTATGAGGGCAAGATAAGGGCTTCAGTAACCTGTTTGACGTCGCTGTCTGACGATGAGGTAAAGCAGTGAGAGCATTCTAAATATAGCTCACACTTAAACTGATAAAATACGTTTTGCTGCCATGTCATTACTCTAGCCGGCTTCTCCAAACTGGGGGCGTACTGACTGATCTCTACTCCATGTAATATACCGACTATGGATAAGTACCTCACACAGCCCCACTGCAAAAGATCCGAACTATCCCTTTAATTCTGCCAGTTTGCCAAAATGTAAACAAATATGTATAGAAATACATGCATGCAGCATAACTCATTGAATCTATAGCAACATTACACTTCCTGTTTCACTTTAGTTTCTAAATGTCAAAGCATAATTACTAAGCATTATTAAGCACAATTAATATTAGGAGTGACAAAATCCAGCGTTATATTTTTTCATGGAGCACTATAAATATTTTTATTATGCGTTGTTAATGCCTACAGAACAGACTTCTGTAAATTTGGATGTCAAAATGGATCTGCAGGTTAATTTTCCTTCACTCTCTGCCCTCTGGAAGATCCCCTGAAGGTGTTGGGTGTCTCGAGGGTTTTTCAGCAGTTGCCTTGAGCCCTGAACAAAAAATAGTTCTTCACAGGCAGGAACACAATAGAAATCATTTTGCATTAACTGTAATATCCCACTCTCAAAAGTGAAGATGTCAAATTTGCAAAATCATCTAATGAATGTTTAGTAACGCCCCTTTTCAGTAGTATTTTCTCTTGTTTCACTATTAGAGGTTGATACTAAAAAGGTTACTTTTGATTTAAGTTGGATAAAATTCTGAACTGTTATCTGTCATTATCATATCTAATATCTCATCCTGGAAACCTGCAGTCCTAACCCCCTTTTTGCTCCTCTCTTTTGCTCAGTGTGGGCCCGCTCCACAGCGACCGGCAGTACGACATCAGCGCCAGTAAAGAAGGTTTCGTCCTGAGTCCCGTCGAGGGAACCCAGGGAGATTTCAAGGCGTTCGCTCTGGCTGGTGTGACCTTCAAGGTACAGTGTGACCAATCCTCACTTGCATACATATTACATCCCAGTAATCACCAGCCGCTTTTACATCTGCACTCATTTAGCCGACACTTTGATCCAGAGCATTGCACAATTATATCTCTTTGTTCACATTTACTACTTTGACTAATTGTGTGGTTAAAGTAAAAATGAAATGACATGATGAAAAGCTGTTGTCAGTTCCTGCAGTATGTTTTATCAAAATACAATTAAAAGAAAAGATCACTGATGATTAGTCGAATCACTTCTCTGCTTTGCTGTGTGCTGCCAGTGTGTCGCCTTTGTACTGCCTATGTTAAAAGGGTCTGCAATTATCTGCAGCGACCATGAGATCCTGGCACAAAGGATGAGTGTTAGTTTCCCTTTCAGACTGTGTAATAAATTGCTTTGAAATCTTCTGTAGAGCGTTTACAATGAGCTTTGTGTCATTATTTATCCTTTTTTCTGGAATAAAACACTAGAGGGACTAAACTCATCTGTCAGTCTGAGTATACCCACAATTTCACAGTTTGGCTGTCACAGTTCGATTTCAGGATGTCTCTGTGCTAGTTTAGCTTCATTACAATGAGCATTTAGTCTACACAGTCATTTATTTTGACCTGTAAGTTCACTAATACTTAAATCTTCTATTATTTGAATGTGGACAAGTCTGCATACACTCATGATCTATAACCTGTACTCTCCCTCTTTGTTCCCTCTGTGCTGTAGATCAGATCGGAGGATGGTCTTCCCCTGTCAGGTGTCCTCCTGTCCCTGAGTGGAGGACAGTTTCGCTCCAACCTGTTGACACAGGACACCGGCCTGCTCACCTTTAATAACCTGGTAAGGGTCCAGCAACCTTTGTCATTTTCTTACTGTGGTGTAAGATATCATTCCATCAAGCTGTAAAGCTGATTTATAGTTGTATTTAGGGTCTATGCAGAGTCTACACTGTAGGTACAGTGTCAGTTCAAGTCAGAATTATATACTTTGCTTAAAGCTGAGTGTAGGGATGTTTTGACTCGTGTTGTGCTCTAGCTGATGTATATATTTTTCTGCTTCCCATTTAATGTAGTCGTTGCTTCTCTCTCTTCAGAGTCCTGGTCAGTATTACTTCAAGCCCATGATGAAGGAGTTCCGCTTTGAGCCGGCATCTCAGATGATCACAGTGGAGGAGGGTCAGAACCTCAGTATCGATATAACTGGCATTAAGACTGCTTACAGGTATATAACATACCTTGATGCTGTTTGTTTTGGGAGTCTAGCTCCAAAAATGTCCACAACACAAGTATGATCTGGTCTTGTGCTGTCGTCCTCAGCTGCTACGGAGCAGTGCAGTCTCTGAGTGGAGACGCAGAGAGGGATGTGGCTGTGGAGGCAGTGGGACAGGGAGAGTGTAGCCTCTACAGCGAGGACACCGTCACTGATGAAGAGGGTCGCTTCAGACTCAGGGGTCTGCTGGTGAGTATGCAGACTGTGTATGACTGAACACAGCAAGCATATTAACTGTCTTAAATGCTATACGTTTACTGTATGTTTTAGCTTATATGACTAAATGAATATCATGTTTCCTTGCAGCCTGGTTGCAAATATCTAATTCAGCTGCGAGCTGAAGGCAACGACCACATAGAGAGGGCCTTACCACAACACAGAGCCATAGAGGTAAGACACAAAGGCTTTCCTCTGTTCACAGAGTGGGTTTGTAATATGACTGTTTGTAAAACTCACAAATAGGATTTCACAACCCTAGAAAGTTACCACTGCGGCAACTGTTTAATCTTTCGTCACAACAGTCAAAAGGTTAAACAGTGTTAATAGTTCATGCTACAAAAGAATTAACCAGGAGATGATTGTCATCATCTGGGAAGGTGCAGCTTCCCTATTTTGTTTCTGGTCAAACAAAAAGGATCTTACTCTCTAACAAAAAAGGTCTGTCTCTGAGGAGATCCTGAGGCAAAAACAAGCACCTTGAGTGGATGTAAACTGACAGTGCTTAGTTGCCCTCAAGGGTTACATTGCAGCCTGTTACGCTGCTGCTGGCTGCAGTGGCCTCACTCAATACTGGACCAGCTTCAAAAATTGTTTTAATTCTTCACTTAGACACAAAAACATGGGTACAATAGGGTACAGGTTAGAAAATACCAAAGTTACCCTTTAACAGCTGAGGTGATGTTGACAGCTGGCTCCAGCTTCTGATGAATATTAAGGGGTATGATTGAAAGCTCCAGAACAGCTACTAAATGGACAGTGTTATGGGATTCTTTTCTTAGTAGCTGAAGTGAAGAATGAGCTGTAAACGTCTAAAATGCCATTCCTGATCCTCCAGTCCAAACAGTAACACGTTTTCAATGTCATAGTGTGTTCCTCTGTACGTGGCATTGAAAACTAGATAGGGAGGGTATGGAAAACTTTCTAATTGAATTGTTGAAATAACTGTGGGAACCCTGTGATTATGACTTATCTGCAGCCTTATCACATGGGTCCTTTCTATACGCAGAACAAAAGCAGCGGTAATCCCATTGCAACTTTAAACCTCTCGGTTCATAATTTTAGCTTGTCTGAAAAGTGCAGCACCCCCTAATCTCTCAGGCAAGGCTGGAAATGCCTTAATTCCACTTAATTCTCTGTTATTATCACACCGTGTGACTTGTACAGAGCTTTATCCACAGTTCACATTTGGCGTTTCCTTTAAGAGGCCAAGGTTGTATCTGTACATTAAGCTCTGTTTTTCCCCCCTCAGGTCGGCAGTAGTGACATTGAAGGGGTCAACATCATCGCCTTCAGGCAAATCAATCAGTTTGACCTCAGTGGAAACGTCCAGACGTCCCCTGAACATCTCGCAACGCTATCGGTAGGACTGCTCGGCTGACATTATCCCTGCATTTTGCTCCTTTTTATTGAACTTAATTACATTTCTGCAGCCCCCCTGCCCCACCCACATGGCAGGAATGTGCACTTAACATTGTTATGGTTCTCTTTCTTTGTCCAGGTGAAGCTTTACAAGAGCGACAATCTGGACAACCCAATCAACAGCGTCTCTCTGGGACAGTCCCTCTTCTTCCACTTCCCTCCTCTGGACAGAGATGGAGAGGTATCTGCCCGTAATTGTGCTCTCTTAAATGAATACCTCACCTGCAGTATGACCATTTGCATATCAATTACACACTGTGTGTTACCTTGCATTTGTAAAAACGACAGTTTATCACATGCCTCAATGGTGAACGGAGGATTCAAAAAAGGCGAATATTCTTAATGAATTCAGACAAAGATATAGTTTATTAAGCCACCAGTCCACACTCCATATGGCGTGGGCGGGGACTTGAACCGGTGACCCTCCGGTTCCCAACCCAAGTTCCTACAATCTAAGTCTCATTTATCCAGTCGTACACTCAGTACTTCCCAAACACATGGCATTCCCACGAAAACCTTACGATATGAAACCCTTCTGCATAAACAGTCTCAGGCACAGATGAGTAGCGTACCTGGGCAAGCATATGAGTTTGAACTCATATTCATCTCCATTTTTGTATTTTTTTTTTGTTCTTAAGATGGTTGACAAGCCCACACATACACAGCTATATTTGAAACTGTAGTATGTCCTATGCATTTTGGCCTTACATCCACAGACAAACTGCGTTTTAGGTCAGTGAAAGAATCTTTTGTAAAATTCCATCCAGGTTAAAGATTTTCTGCAGCTCCGTTTTTCAGTGTTGACATGTAGATGGGGAAAGTTTTGGGATTGTGATGTCGCAGTGTTGCCTTTATGAGGCATCACAAATGAGGTGACATTTCATGCAATGGCGGCCATGACCAAAACAGTCCAGGTTGTAACCTTTCTAATAGAACTTTTCACATGTTTACACATAACTATACAGTTAAGGCTTTTGCACACTGAGTCCGTTTTTTTTTTTCTTCAGATGTGTTTTTTTAATCCGTCATCTGAAAAAAATCCATTACACACAGACACCTTACACACTAATTCCGATGCTGTTGTATTCGTAACTCCACTGGAGTTACCCATCTGGCTGTCACTGCTCCCTCCCTGTCTTTCATTTGGCACCACAGCTGTATGAAAGGGCAGAGCTGTCCTCTCTCAGTCCTCCACATTCTGTGTGCTGTCCACATTCTCCTGCTCTTCATCATCATCCACCTGAGTATTACTATCTGATGTTGAACGTGAGCTATCTGAGTTAGGAAATTATTCTGTGCACCCCCTTCCACTGTCTGTGTTCTGCCGCCACATTTTCTTCACTGATTCTTGGTCAAATGTCTCTAAAGCAGAAAATCAAACCTGTTCTGAAAATGTTAAAGACGAATGAAAGTTTCAGACTTAGTGTGCAAACGTGAGGTCGTATTTATTTTTAGACGTGTGACATTTCAGACGAAAAAAAGGCCTAACTCTTCAACTATATTGAGAAACGGAGATGCCAGAATGCGCTACGGAGATCATTTGACTGGCCAACATCACCATCTTCTTTCTGTGGCTTTAGGGTTACGGTTATATCGCTGCCTGTTGGTTTGCCATGATACTGACAGCACTTCAGTTGTGTTTTGCACTTTCATTTGGACTGAGATTTTTCTTTAACAGTGTGTGTGGATGGGAATTTTTTTTGACAATAAAGAAGAAAAAAATTGTGTTTTCAAAAACAATAATGTGGACCAGGCCTAAAACCAAAAGTCATATTTTCAAGAGTACATTATTCAGTGGTTAAAAGTCTCCTTTATGTCGACACGACTGTATATTTGACTGAATGTATAGACCCAGAAACTGCTATTGTTGGATCTAAAGTCACCTTTCTCTTCCCTCTCCAGAGTTACGTGCTGATGCTGTACTCCACGCTGTCCCGCTCCCAGTATGACTTCACTCTGCCTCAGGTCTCCTTCACCTCCAGCGGCTACCACAAGCACGTCACACTCACCTTCAACCCCACTGTAAGATGCTTCTCTAACCCACAGAATATTTCAGTGCTGGTGTTTCCTGTGATTTGTTTGTTTACTGAAAGGAACCACAGCTTTTCTGCTGAGGTGTATTGTGCAGGTTGCGGCAGGCTTTCTATCAAAACAGTATTGATCGGGCCGTTTCTTTTGAAATTGTCTCATCTCGGGGTGTGTGTTTATGCTTGTGTCTTCCCACAGCGTAAAGTGCCTGACCAGGATGTTGCCCAGGGCTCCTACATAGCTCTGCCCCTCACGCTGCTGCTCCTGTTAGCAGCGTACAACCATGAGAAGGTACATAACCACCTTCACCTGCTCCAGACAACATGTTCAAAGAGCTTTTCTTGCTCGACTGTTGAATTTCTGAATCTATTTAGTTTGAATAAAACTCAGTGGAATTTGGCCTTGTCATGGCCAAGCCTAAAATTTGGAATGGCATCAAGAAGAGAGTCCTATTTCTTGTAGTTTTATAATCAATTCGTATTCATGTTAATCACATATTTTTTTCCTTGTATTTTCCGAATACTTCAAGTCAAAAATTTTTAGTCAGAAAAGCATTTGTTTAACACCCTTTGCGGACCTGTTCTGCAGGTAATCCCCCTCCTCTTACAAGTGGTGAATCGTATCCAGGGAGTGAGGAGCATGGCCCAGGTCAGCAGTGACAGCGCCGCTCTGGATGAAGCCAAACGTCAGGCCAAGAGACAGAAAGCCAGGCGCACATGAGGACCTGCAATCACGGCTCACCTCAGACCACATCTTCGCACACTAATTGGTACACCTGCACACATGGTAACAGCCTCAGAGAGCACTGCGGGTTAGCTCATAGGACGCAGGTTCACTAGATAAACCTCTTAACGTTTGGAGTGGCTAATCGTGGGTGCAAGTGAACTGTTTAGCTCGCTAGGATGTGATTTGGCCCCTGAGTGAAGCCCAACATTAACCACTCGATATGCATTACCACCACCTCATCAGCCACTCGGATTCACTGGACTGATCGCTGACATTTTACAGGTTGTTTTCTTCTGTTGCTTTTTTTTTTTAAACTCCTTTTTTTCCAGAACACTTGTGTCTAAAAAAAAAAAATGTTAATATTTGTGATAGAATATGAGCCATTTTTATACATTTGTAATTTATCTAGGTCAACTAAAATCTTTTGCTTGTGTTTTGGAAGCACTTGAATGCTTTTGATATCAGTCCTGACATAGTTTGGGACGATCAGGCAGCGTGGATGATCATGTGACTCAGATTCCAGCATTTGGGTCATTTCAGCGAATACACAAAGGAGATTGTCATCAAAGTGTGGCTGGAATTATATAAAATGTATTCATAACTACCTATATTAACTTAAAGGGACAGTTCACCACCAAATCAAAAATATACATTTTTCTTGTGGTGCTCAAAGCGCCAAAAAGAATAGATTTAAAAAAAAAACAAAAAAAACTCAACAGCAACGTCTCTTTTCAGAATCATGACCTGGGTACTCAGGATAGTCCACAGACCTTGTTGCGAGCAGTTTCATGTAGGAACTTTATTCTTTATACCAAAGTAACCGGATCACAGCACAGAAGGAAGAGTGCATCTACTCATGAACAAGAGGCTCGTGCTCGTGACAGCGCAGGATGTAAACATTAATGGCTTCCTCCTTGGCTGAGCTGTGATGTTAGCTAGCTCAGTGTCGCTAGCAGTATGTGCAAACTTCCTTCTGCACCGTGATTTGGTTGGCAAGAATAGTGCGGTAGAAAAATAGGAAGGAAGGAAGAATGTATATTTTTTTATTTGGGGTCGAATTGTCCCTTTAAGGAAATTTAAAATGTAATGGTTCCATTGATTTCTATGGATCAAATAAGGGTCAATAACATTTAAAGCTTGTGAAACGATAATCAGAAATATTTTCAAAGCTTGTTTTGTACATCACCCTTGAGGAAAAACTCTGCATGAGGAGTTTCTGAATGTGAAGAAAAGATCTGTGTTTGTAGAAAGGCACCGTCATCAAGGCCACTGCACATCTCACAATGTTAATGAAAGGGAAAAATAATTTGTGTACCCACCCCATGATTCGGATCCGCTCCAACATTTAATGGATTCTTACTTGGCCCATGCTCCATCCTTCCCCCAAGTTTCATGAAAATTGGCCTGGTAGTTTTTCTGTAATCCTGCCGACAAACAGACAAACAAACTCTCCTTGGTAGCAAGGTTATTACAGTTAATTAAAAACAAACTAAAAAGTAAAACTCTTTATAAACTTTATAAAATAATAAAAATATACAGGAAATTTGGTCAAATCTGTTAACACAACAAGTGTGAGGAGGTACTAGTGCATCTGTTTATTCAGACTGAGGTGTCTACATGACTCTGAGTCAGTTGCCCTCACAGGGTGTTGTGTTCGTATTTTAATATCCATGTCCGAACTTTAATTTTGCCCCTGAAAAATACCCCAATATTACATTTTAAAAAAAGTAGAACTAATACTGAAACTAATAAACACTAAACTGAAACGAGCAAACCCACTCTGGAAACTGAAACTAAACGGAATTAAAAACAAAACAAAAAAATAAAAACTATAACAACACATTTTTCAGCATGAGGGTGATGAACAAGCTCTATATCTTTTTGACACTTACTTGACTCCGTACCTTTAATACCAAACTGCTTCAGCCCCGAGCTGAATTGACTTCTATAATGCCATCACAAACGTGGGATGTGTAACTATGATTGAAAGACAGCCAAAGACTTTGACAAGCTAACAAACGCTGTATACAGTTGTCAGTCATGTCACACCACTCAAATATAAAAACACCCACCGGTTACTGTAATGCACTCCACTTCTGATGGTATTTTATAAGCTCTTAAGTGTGATGCAAGATTGACTTTATGTCAGTTTCAGCTCAGGAAAGTGGTGGTCGATAGGATGTTGGAGATTTGGGGTTTGAATACTGTGTGAGAAGATTTTTTTTTTTGGTTGACCAGGGCGGGCGGGCTGGGGAGCTATAACTGATAATTTATTAACAAATGTCTAATCAGATGTGAATGATAACCCAGTGTGTATGCTGGGGAATGTCTTTCAGAAGTGTGTGTGTTTTGAAAGATGTTCTGTCAGATGAAGTGTGCGACAAGTTAATTCAAAGAGCAACATTAAATTTAGGAAGAATGACATCCACAGAAGGGAGAATGAATGAGGATAATCTAACAGAGGGTGTGTCACGACCTTGAGTCAAACTTAAAATGATAAGACAGAATTGTAATTTCATGAACTCTTTGTCTTATTGAGCTGTGCACCCCAATTATTTTTTCTGTGTTTAATTCATCTGCCCTCGGTTGTGGCTGAAAGATGTAAAGGCCACTGACTATTTACTGAGTTGAAAGATATTCCAATTAGTCCACATTAAGGGGGAGTTGATTAGATTTGGTTGGGGTGGGAGAGGGAGAGGGAGGGGGGGCGGGGGAGGTGGGGTTTAATTGTCATTTGGTCAGAATCTGTTCAATTTTATTTTATTTTTTTTTTGAGATGATGAATAAAGTTTGACTGGAAGGAAATTAATTTGACTGTGTTATGGTTTTGCCTCTAGGGGGCAGTGTAACTTTAGGCATGAATATTTTCATATAGATAGAAAGAATTGTAGATATTTTCCTTAAAGTGTTAAAAAACTGAACTCGTACTGTAGTAAGTATTAAAAAGAAAAAAAAGACTCCCCTGGAAAATCAATAAATATTAGATTAATTTATCTCTTCCCCCAAGCAGCCTGTGGCATAAAATGCTTATGGGTACATTAGTGTGCAGCAAGGACGAGCTGATGTTTGGCTAAGAGGGGTTAAAATGCTCTTAAAGTAGAGTTGTCTGTAAAAGGCCACTTTACTATTATTCAGCTGAAATCATACTGTTATAATGTGAAAAGGAAGTGCAAATATGAAACACTAACTCCCTCTGCACTCTGTCTGGAGAGCTGTGCCCCGCAGCCACTCTCTGCTGTCCATTAGATAATGTAAAATGTGTCAGAGAGCAGACAGCAAAGATTTTAATGAACTACAGTAGGCCCAACTCCAACTAGGGCTGGGAGGGGAGAGGACATCCAAATGTCACTCTACCACTTTGTTAGATCAGTATTCCTGTAAAGCCCCGTCTCCACTGAACAGTACACTACAGTACAGGTCAGTGCGCTTTTTTCTGTTTCCACTGTGAAAAATTGTGCATGGTACCAATGGAACTGCACTGTCCCCATTTTTTGGTCCCCCCTCTGTTGGGGTACCTAGCACACAGATCCAGTACTAAAAGGTGGAGCTGTGAACACTGCAGTCCACTGGTTGGTCAATAGCAGACGGTCACTCTGCTCAGGGCTGAGTTGTGGCTGGTTTTGAGGCTCATATAACCACTGTTTATACCATGGAGAGATTTATTAAAAGGATAGTGCACCCAAAAATGAAAATTCAGCCATCATCTACTCAACCATATGCCGAGGGAGGCTCAGGAGTCCTCACATCCCTTGCGGAGATCCAAGGGGAGAGGGGGTAGCAACACAACTCCACCTAATGGAGGCTGACAGCGCCCCAGATTCAAACGTCCAAAAACACATAATTGAAACCACAAAATATCTCCATACTGCTCGTCCGTAGTGTCCGGAAGCTCCGACATAAAAAGTTGTTTGGAAAAAACGTCATTTGAACTCTGTTTTTAGCCTCACTGTAGCCTGCAGCTCTGACTGCCTCTCTGTTTTTCCAAACAACTTTTTATGTCGGGGCTTCAGGACACTTGGATCACTGTGGACGAGCAGTATGGAGATATTTTGTGGTTTCAATTATGTGTTTTTGGACATTTTAATCTGGGGCGCCGTCAGCCTGCATTAGGTGGAGTTTTGCTGCTGCTTCCTCTCCCCTTGGATCTCTGCAAGTGATGTGAGGACTCTAAAACTTCACCTGAGCCTCCCTCGGCATATAGTTGAGTAGATAATGGCTGAATTTTCATTTTTGGGTGAACTATCCCTTTAAGCCCCGTTTCCACCAAACACTTTCAGTATGGTACCTTTTGAACCAACAGTAACCCTTCAGACATGGCACCCAGAACCTAGCATTTCTACCTCAAACAGTACCCTTAAATGTGGGCGGGGTTATTGTCACTCACTGCTCGTCCAGGACTCACTGTATTTCCCCCTTTATCAGTCTGCACCTCGTTTATCGTCCACAGAACGAGGTTACATGCCGACATTTTCAGAACAAAATAAAACAGGCTGCAGTGAGAGTCTCTCTCCATGGGGTATTTGAAAATAGCAGGTTTGTGCATTTAGTCCTTCTCAGACAAGCTCAGGGGTTTAGTGTTGTAGGAGCCCACAAGAATGACGTTCTGCAGCGCTTTTTTTTTCTCCGAGGATTGGGATATATGCAGTTCACATAACCTGGTCGAAATTAATATGTATAAATGTTTGTAGTCATGTAGTCATCTCATGCATTGAGTAACATTACAAGTTAACGTTCCACCTTAAAGGAATACTCCGACAATTTGGGAGTTATGCCCTTTCTCTATCATTTTCATATTGAGACAACATGATCGATATCTTTTTTGTGTCTGTACGTCCAGTGGCTGGGATTCAGCAGTTAGCATTGTGGCTTGGCTTAGCGAATACAATTGAAGTCTATAGGGGGTCAGTAGCCTACTCGTAAAAGTGAACAAATAAATGTTACAGAAACCCTGAAGCTGGCATTTCTACACGTGCATTTAAAATAAACATGTTTAAACATTAAATCGAAAAACGAGAGTCCTTTTTAGTCATTTCAGAAGAAGTTTGATACATGGAAGTATAGTGTGTATGTAAGTACAGCTGTTTGGTACCATGTCTGAAGGGTTACTGTTGGTTCCAAAGGTACCATACCGAAAGTGTTTGGTGGAAACGGCGCATAAGAAGTACATTCCAGCAGCATCAGATGAATACCAAATCTAATGGACTGGCTTTCACTGTTGGCTAATAATAGGTTAAGACACATCATTCATCAATTAGCATAACCACAGAGATACATCGCAGCTTGACACTGATCTGGTGTTGGGACGCTAAACTCTTAGCCACACTCATGTTTGTGCTCGCTGGAATGTAGCTGGGTGGTGTCATGACGTGGGCTAGGTCAGAGCTCAGAAAGAAGCGCCTGTTATAAACTGTATTTTAGCAATGGTAATAATGGTTTATTACTACAATACTTCCTACAGTTCCTGAACTGTTGAACTGAACTCCTGAAAATTTGCTGTATTTCTTTGAAAGGTTTTTCCTTCATAAAAGATGCAGCGGGTTTTTCCACAGAGGACACTTTGACAGCTCGTAGCAGTGAAAGCACATGTGGAACTAATTATATTAATGATGACTTTAAGCTACAGTTGGTAAGTGATGAAAATAACTGTGTGTCATGTTTGCTGGAACTGTCCCTACATTCTTAGAGAAGTACATGAGACAGTCAGTAAAAACAAAATCTTGTAGCTCCTGTCCACCTACGGCTTCTACAGCCCAGTTCAGACCAAAGATTTGTGACGAGATGAGTTGAAACAAACAACTACTCGCAATGCACCGTTCTGCAACGTTCTAAAAACCTGCCAGTTCAGACCAATTCAACTAGATAAGACGGTGCATCAACTTTCGGTACTTCTGTTCTGATTTGCAGCTTTTTCAGGCTTATTTTGTGGCTGAATATAATTTGTAGCTCCTTAAAATATGAATGAGGACAGTGATAGTGAGATACTGGCTACAGCTGCATCTGTAGTGGGGATGAAATGGCGAAAAACAGAAACAAAATGAGCATCAGATGGACTGTATTCATGATAAGTACACCACAATGGCCGACCTTCCTCTGCATCATATTGGCTTACCCTGACATACTCGGCCTAACCCTAACCAATCCCACTCATTCATTCATTAATTTTCTGTAACCACTTGTCCTGTTAGGGGTCACAGGGGGGCTGGAGCCTATCCCAGCTGACACTGGGCAAGAGGTGGGGTACACCCTGGACAGGTCACCAGACTATCAAAGGGCTAACACTGGTCTACTAGCATGCCTTACTGAGACACTTGGATAGTTTTGTCAATGCTAGTTATTACGCATGTCTCTCAGCTGTGACATGTGAATATGTCACCTGTTTTTTACAAATAGGGGCAAAAATATTCCCAAATAAACTCACAGAAATACATCCTGAATAGCTTTTCACGTTGTTGTTGTTGTTGCTAACGTGTTGCTTACACATCCAGAAAGAGAGCAACTTGTGCATCCCATTGGAGATGTGGTTCAGGTTACATGGGGAGTGTGTTCATTAACACTGAAACTCCAACTCCTGAAGAAAATGTCTGCGTAAATGAAGGGGCTTTGTTCCTCATACAATCATTTACTTCCACTCTCCACTATTTAGCACTGGAGACTTAGCATATTCTCAGCTAACCTGAACTTGTTTGCTAGCAGTATGAGGATGGAAGTGAGAATGGAAACCAAAAGAATTGGATAAAAATGCCTCAAAGCCGCATGGAACTGAAACTGAATTTGGCAGTAGGAGCCACCTCTTTACAATACATGGGCACTTTGATAAAATTCTAATGTCAAACTGGGGACATGCATGTTGACTGAAGACGCTGCCCCCCCTAGTATTATGGGCATTATTTCTACTTCTGCTGCTACATTCTACGGTGCAGTATGGTATGGAACAGTTGAGTACATATTTTTTCCATTTCCACTATGAAAAGTTGTGGATGGTACTGATGGAACCATTCTACACTGTCCCCATCTTTTGTCCCCCCTCTGTTGGAGTACCTAGCACACAGATCTGGTACTAAAAGGTGGAGCTGTGAATACTGCAGTCTGTTGATTGGTCAGTAGAGGACTGTCACTCTGCTCAGGGCTGAGTTGTGCCTGGTTTTGAGGCTCATGTAACCACTGTTCATACCGTGGAGAGTTTTGCCTGAGGACTAAATGCACACACCCACTATTTGCAAATATCAGTGTTGGCATGCAGCCTTGTTCCATGGACGATAAACGAGGTGCAGATGTTTAGGAAATACAGTGAGTGCTGGATGGAGCAGTGAGTGACAACAACCCCACCCACATTTAAGAGTACTGTTTGTGGTAGAAACGCTAGGGTCTAGGAACCATGTCTGAAGGGTTACTGTTGGTTCCAGACGTACCATTCCAAAAGTCTTTGGTGGAAACGGATCTTTAGCCTCTGTTCTACCAGCTTCTGTTTGTTGGGATGTTTCTATCCATATACTAAGCTATCAGTATCCTGGATAATAAAATTCTAATACGTGACATTTTAACAAAGATAAAAAAAAACTGTTTGTTAGCATTCAACAGCAACACCTCCCATGAGGCATCGAAGAGTGACAATGGCTAATATTCATGGGGCATGTTGACATTGTTTACCGCTGGTGAACACACTGTTGTGTGTGAGGGCCAGTGAATCTTAATCATGCTTAATAAATGACAGTATTCTGTGAAATATAACAAGAAGCTGATATCATATTCACACTCAGTACAAGTCTTAACAAACCAATACATCATATTTTATTGGAACACATACTATGA